AACTCACAGAGATCCGCCTGGCTCTGCCTCCCGAGTGCTGGGATTAAAGGCGTGCGCCACCAACGCCCAGCTTATTTCCCTTTTTTTTTAAGTCTAGAGAAATAACTCTGCACTGGCTGCTCTTCCAGAGGTTCTGGGTTCGATTCTCAGCATGCATAGGGTGGCTCCAAACCATTTGTAACTCCAGTTCCAGAAGGATCTGACGCTATCTTCTGGCCTCCATGGGTACTGCACACAAATGGTGCACAGACCTACATGAGGATAAAACATCCACACATAAAATAGAACTAAATAAATCTTTGGTGGTGCACACCTTTAATCCCAGCTCTTGGGAGGCAGAGGTGCACAGATTTATATAGTGAGTTTCACTAAGGCTACATAAGTGAGACCATGTCTAAAAAAGACAAAAAATAAAATCCTTTTTAAAAGCATGTAACTGATTCTTAGTCCTGCTGGTAAAGGAGGCTGAATCTTGGAGTGTTTGCTAAAAAGACTGCTAAGTCTGGGCCAGAGAGATGGCTTACCAAGTAAGGTGCTTGCTGCCAAGCCTGTTAGTAACTTGAGTTCTAATCCCCAGGGGAGCCCCACATGATGGAGAGATAGTAGATACTCTGCATGTGTGTCCACACATGCACACACAGGCAATTTTAAAAAATAATAAGGGGGTTGCAGAGATGGCTCAGCAGTTAAGAGCACTGGCTGTTCTTCCAGAGGTCCTGAGTTCAATTCCCAGCACCTGCATGGTGGCTCATAACCATCTGTAATGAGATGTGGTGCGTACATGTAGGCAGAACAGTGTATTCATAATAAATAAATAAATTTAATAATAATAATAATAATAAAACCACTAAAGGTGACATATGTGGGCAAAGACTAGTAGAGTGACAGTCCATTTGGACTGATGGAGCTGGTGACTCACTAATTACTGTAAATGTGTAATTTGAATGGTACTAAACTAATCAAACGGGATTAAGGATTAAGATGACTTCCTAAGGGAAATGTAAAACTAAGGAAGAATGGATTGGAAGGCCTGAGAGTAAACTGTGTGTCTGGAGGGATCTCTGACTTTGAACTTTTGAGGACGGAGACAAAGGCAGCACACAGAATGTTTAGTATGGTCACAGTGTTGGGGGTGATGATGGGAGGGAGTGATCCAATGTCTTAGTTAGCTTCAGCTGTCAACTTGACCGATGGGAAGAGGAAATCTCACTTGAGGAATTGCCTTCATCAGATTGGTCTGTGGGGCATTTTCTTGATGGGTGGTTGATGTGGGAGGGCCCAGCCCACTGTGGTCGCCCCTGGGCAGGTGGTTCTGAGGTGTCTAATGAAAGTAGCTGAGCAAGTAAGCAGCATCCCTCCGTGGCTTCTGCTTCAGTTCCTGCCTTCAGCTTCCTGCCTTGAGTTCCTACCCTCACTTCCCTTGATGTAAGCTAAAATAAACCCTTTCCTCCCCAAGTTGTTTTTGGTCAATCACAACAACAAAAATCAAACCAGAACAAGTTTCCTACTTCCTTTAAAGAATATTTGGTTATCTTTAAGTTGTGTGTGTGTGTGTGTGTGTGTGTGTGTGTGTGTGTGTGTGTGTGTGTGTGTGTAATAAGGCAAATATCAGTGCAGGTTAGTCAAGGGCTCCCAGACAATGTTAGGGGGATTGTATGACTAGAAAGTGACTGCTAGACTATAAGGTTGGGGGAGGGGGCAGAGGCATGTCTTAAAATGGGTGGAATGGCTGGCTGGATAGATAAAAGAAAGACTACTTTTTGTTCACTCTTGGTAGGTAAAGCGTATGATCTGCTGGTAGAGCTGTTCCAGCTGGAAGTGAACCAATGATAGAAGAGGCTAAAGTTGGAGAGACGGCTCAGCAGTTAGAACTGCATACTGCTCTTGCAGAGAACCTGAATTGAGTTCCCAGCCCCCATAGAGTGTGGCTCACCACTACTTGTAACTCCAGTTCCAGGGCATCTAACGCTCGGTTCTGGTTTTGAGGGCACTACACTCAGGTGTACAAACCCACACTCAGACATGTACACACAATTAAAAATAATTTTTTTTGAGACAGGGTTTTTCTGTGTAACAGTCTTGGATGACCTTGAACTGGTCAGGCCTCCACCAGGCTGGGCCAGGTCTGAGCCTAGGACTCCAGAAGTTCTGGCAGCCTCCACTCCACCTAATAGGGTAGCTTTGGGTCCCTGAGGTACCCAATTAGGAATGCAGCTGCCATGCTGGAAAGGTCAGCCTTTGACACAGTACACATAAGTAAAAAATGGTTTTTAAAATGATTACAACCAAACCATATAACAAAGATGCTATGAATTTGATGGGACTGGAGAGCTAGCTCAGTAGTTAAGAGCACTGGCTGCTCTTCCTGAGGACCCGGGTTCAATTCCCAGCACCCACGTGGCAGCTCATAGCTGTCTGTAGTTCCAGTTCCAGGGCTTCTGACATCTTTACACAGACCTACATGCAGGAAAACACTGATAACATAAAATAAAAATAAATAAAAATACACTGTGCATTTGAAAGAGATCAAGATTAGGGGGAGTACATTGGAGGGGTTAGCTATTGACAGTCCCTTGTAGTAGGAATGGGTGGGAAGGGTCAGTGAACCTCCCCCTCAGACTCCAGCCACTTCCCTCTGCACCTCCCAGGTATCTGTGTGCAGTTCTGGCCTAGCTATGTGGCTGTGTGGTCTCAGGAGCTGCTAGAGTATACAGACAGTAGAAACCTCAGCAATGGGAAGTCGCCCATATTGAGATAAGACTTTCCAGCGTGGCTGATTTGGCCAGTAACCCCTCACTTATGATCTGTATACTATGGAGTAATCCTTCTGTACACCGTGAAGACGTGTTTCTCTTGTTGTTATTAAAAAGCTGATTGGCCAATGGCTAGGCAGGATTTTCAGGGCAGAAAGAATGCTGCGGAGAAGGGCAGAATCAGAAGAGGTACCATGAGACACAGACCGAGCAGGATGGGAAGTGAGTGCATGAGGTAAACAAGCCTCGGGCAGCACATAGGTTAATAGAAATGGGTTAATTTAAGTTATAAGAGCTAGCTAGAAACAAGCCTAAGCTATCAGCCAAGCCAAGACAGTGAGTGCTGTCTTCGGAGTCCTCTTAGGTGCTTAGAATAAATGCTCTTAGAATAAATGAATTCTATTTATTCCAAATTAGTAGTATCAGCTAAGATTCCCAACAACCTGAACAGAAGCAAAAGACATTTAAAAAAAAATCAGCCTGTGCTCCATGCTCTGATGTATTAACCCTGCTCTCAGGATGATGTTGGGTTCCTTTTAATAGAGGATGTGAGAGTGTCTACTTAGAGAAGTGAGCTACTTCAAGCTCTCATTTTATGTGATCCTCTGGGGAGAAATCTGTGCTTCTTTGGTGTTTTTTCCTCTTGTTCTTTAAAACCCACAAAACGTCTGTGAACATCAACCATTTCTCATTAGAAAGGGAAAGGTCAATGGGGAGACAAGGGCGTAAGTGGAAGAAAAGCAACTTCCACTTCTGTGCGTCATAAGATGTTCAGGATGGATGGTAACAGTGCCGTCATGCCTACCCACCCTCTACTAACCATTGCTTTTGAGCATCATGTAGACCAGGCTGGCCTCAAACTCATAGAGATCCACCTGCCTCTGCCTCCCAGTGCCAAGATCAAAGGAGGTCTTTAATTTCCCAACATCCAGCCTCACTTTCTTTTTTTTTTTCTTTTTTTTTTTTTGTGCGGTTTTTTCTTTTTCTTTTTGTTTTTCAAGACAGGGTTTCTCTGTGTAGCTTTGGAGTCTGTCCTGGAACTTGCTTTGTACACCAGGCTGGCCTTGAACTCACAGAGATCCACTTGCCTCACTATATATATATACACATATATATACATATTTGTGTTTGTTTGTGTAGATGCCCTTGGAGGCCAGAAGAGAATGTTGTCTCTGTTAAGTATTTTGAAAATCCCCCAGTAGTAGGTTGCTCTGCCGATGCAATAAGCCAATTTAATGAGCAGAGCATCCCCAGGTGATCTCAGGGGAAAAGGAGAAACCATGTAGAAAGACTATGGACCAGACCTTAAATATCCTGCAGGCAGGTCTTGAGGAGCTCCAAGGTAGGAGCCACTGTTTGCCAGGCTTTCTTTGGGAAGGTCTGGAATGGGAGGAGTGGGACCAAGTTTCCAGCTGAACATCTGGGTGCCAACATCCCAACAGAGCTGGAGTCACAGGCAGCCTTAAGCAACTGGTCTGAACTCATGATCTAAGCTCTGCTGGGATCTGAACTCAGGTCCTCTGGAATAGCAGCAAGTGCTCCCATTGCTGAGCCATCTCTCCAGCCCCCTAATTGTTACTTTATAATTTCTTAAGCATAATCGTAGTCGTGACTGATGTGGTGGCACACGCCAGTAAATCTAGCTCTTGGAGGTTGGGGGAAGAAAAATCAAGGCCATTCTTGATTCAAAGAGGGTTTGAGGCCATGCTAGGCCATGTGAGATGTCTCAAAAAAAATTTTTTTTATCACATTTCTATATTGGAATAAAAACCCAGATAAATTGCAGCTAAAATGTGTGCCTGCTTGGGGCTAGACTGTTAGGAAATATTAATGGGGACAAAGACAATGAAGAAAACTTGAAGCACTCATAAAAATAACTCAGCCCATGCCAGCAAGATGACTCAGTTTGTAAAGGCACTTGCCACCAACCCTGCCCACCTGAGTTGGACCCCTGGGACCCACATAGTGGAGGGAGAGAACTGACTTCCACAAGTTGTTCTCTGAACTGTGGCACATGCATGCCTACACACACAATAAACAAATGAATGAATGATTTAAAAGTGAAATAAAAAAAAACTGAGCCCCATGCAATAAAGAGATTTGCAACCCAGGGGGAAAAAGAACAATTATTCGATTAATTCTGTTGGGAAAGCTACTGAACATGGGGAAAGCAGCTTCACATTTTGTGCTGACCAAATTCCAGGTATAAGAAATATTAAAATGAAAGGACCTGAAATATATTTAAAAAAATAAAAGAAACTGGGAATGTAGTCTCAGAGAAAGATGCCAGCAGCAGCTACATTGCACAATTTCTTCTGAGGAGTCATGAACAGGTCACCCCAGATACAAAATTCCAGCAGTGTTAGCCGGGCAATGGTGGCACATCCATCCCTTTAAGAGGCAGGTGGATCTCTGTGAGTTTGAAGCCAGCCTGGTCTACAGAGCAAGTTCCAGGATAACCAGGGCTGTTAACAGAGAAACTCTGTCTTGAAAAACAA